TCTTAAAGAGTCATCAATGGTCTGGATGTGTTAACCCTGTTAGACGTTCTCTGTCCATTGTTGTTTGGTTTTCTGATGTTTGCCATCCTAATTTTTTTTTTTCCCTGTGGGAAGGTGGGATGGAGTTTGTGCACAATGTGGAAGCAGAGCTGTGCTTGCAGGAAGGAATTGCAGCAGCTGCTGTTTGCCCAGTTCCTGGGGTTCAGCCTTACTGAGAGCTCTGGATCAGGCCATGGGGTGCTCTGGGTGCTGTCCCAATGGAGCACCTCATTCCTCTGGGTGCACCACAGCTGCTCCCCTTCTGAGATGTGTCTCGCAGGGCTGGTGAAACCCCTGCATTGGTGCTGTCAGTGCAGGTTCTGCTCTGAGCAGGTTCTGCTCAGATCACCCCAGGGGCCTTTCCTGCTATCATTAATCTCTTTCCTTCTAGTTCCATGCCCAAACCTGTACATGCAGCTGAACGGCCTGATGCTCACCCTGGACACACCAAGTGTGCTCTGGATAAACCTCTTCTGCCTGGATCTGTGTCGCAGCCTGGAGCAGTTCAAAGCCATCTACAAGCTGGAGGACTCAGGCAAGCGGGATGAGCACGTGGATGTCCGGCTGGATGGCTTCAGGCTGAAGGTATCTTTCTTTTCCTTCCTTGCCCAGCCTTCAGTGTTCTCTCTGCGAAAGAAACAAGAGACCGGGACATAGCTGGAGTCCATAACAAGGAGACAAACCTGCTGCCTTCCTCTGACTTTGCTCTGTCTGCCTCTTGTGTTGGTTTTGTTGGGTTTGTGCTGCTGGAGTTCTCATCCAGAATAAACCTCTGCTATTCCTTTCTCACCTTCCTTCCCCTGCAGCTCAGCATCCCCGTGGATAAGAAAGTCACAGACCACCGGGACCGGCCTCAGGCCCTGTGTGTTTGCATGTCAGAGGTGACAGCCACCAACACCCGCCACGCTCCCTCCTGCAGCTGCCAGGACCTGCAGAGCCTCTTCAGGAAATTCGCGGGCTCCGAGTTCTTCCACTCCAGCTACGCCGCGTTCCCCCGGGAGCAGGGCAGCTTCAGCCTCCTGCACACCCTGTTCCTGCGCCACGCCTACCACGTGGAGGACAGGCCACACAAGCACCAGAAGCTGCCTCACAAAACCTCTGCCTCTGAGGATCTGTGGTCCGTGAATTTCAGTGAGCTCTCCCTGGGATTTGAGGGGGCCGAAAGCTCCAAGGGCAGAGCCCTTAGCTTTGTTGACCCTTTTCCCCTTTCCATATGGGCCTGCCTGCCCAAGAGGTGGGGGCAAGCTCAGATATCTAAACGACAGGAGCTGGCCACCTCTGAGGTGAAAATCAAGCCTTCTGCCAGCTTTAGCAACCACTCCAAGAATGAGAACCTCTCCAGAGAACACAGTGTTTGTCAAAGATCAAAGACTGACCAGGATCTGAGGAATATCTCTAAGGCTCCCGACACAATGGATGTCTTGGGAGAATCTGACTGTGAAGTTGATGATGGAGTAGACAGTAAAGAGCTGGAAGCCTCTGCTGATATCCACGTGCTCATGTCCTCCTCTGTCCACGTCAAAGTTCGGCTCAACCACTACCAGTACTTGGTGCTGCTCAGGATGAAGGAAGTTCTGCAAGCACTGCAGGAGCAGCTGGCCCAAGATACCCAGGAAATGACTGGGTCTCCTTTAGATCCCATGTCTGCTTGTGTGGGAGTTATGTTCCCCAGTGCTGAGGTGGCCCTGCTCATGGCCCCTGCCCCAGGGTCTGTCGTGGAGCCCAGGTCCCTGGACTCGGACACAACCAGCCTGATCGAGTCCGAGCTCTCACCCTCAGACAGCAAGGAGGGGCTGGCGGCTGAAGAGAAGGAGCTGAAATCAGAGAGCAGTTCGGAGAAGGGCTTGGGCAGCACCTCAGAGCTCCCAGAGGACAGTGGGATCCAGGACACCGGTGCCAGTGTCCCGCTGGAGAGGCTCCCGAGGTCCGCAAGCGACGGCGCCCTGAGCGCAGCTCCCCGCGGTAAGGGCCCAGAGGAGAAAGCCTTGATAGAGGAAGCACACGAAGCTGTGGAAGCCCTGGTTGCAGAAAGACCAGCAGAGACCAGCAGCCACCCTCAGAGCCCCCCTGCTCTCCCTTCCAGCCCAGCCTCGGACGCGCAGCCCTCGGGCAGAGGAGGTGTTGCCCTCAATGGCCAGGCCGAGCTCGTCCCGCTGCGGAGCATTGAGGTGGAGCTCTCCAGTGCACTGCACATCACCAAGGACGCCACCAAGGAAGCTCTGCACGCCACCATGGACCTCACCAAGGAGGCCATGTCCCTCACCAAGGACGCCCTGAGCCTGAGCAGGGACAAGATGACCTCCACCATGCAGAGGATGCTGTCCCTGCCCCCGGCCAGGTGAGCAGGCCAGGCTGCTGAGCTGCAGGAGGGGAGACAGAGCTCCTCCCTTTCTGTCCTTTGTATCTGGGTTGGAGATGGGTTAAGTGTTCATCTCTGGGGCTGTTCTGAGGGTACTCAAGTCTGACTTGCAAGTGGTCAGAGACACTCAGATCATCTGCAGGCTCAGCTGCCTTTATCACTGGTTTCTGTTGGGTTTTTCTGTAGGGATTCTGTGCCCAAAGCAGAGGAGGGAGCGCTGACCCCGGGCGGGGCGGGCAGCGGCCGGATGCGTTTCTTCTCCATGAAGAGAACCTCATCCCAGCATTCCTTTGACACCACATCCGTGGATGGGAGTGGCCCTGAGGACGGGCTGTCCGTGGACAGTGATGGCAGTGATGGCTTTGTGATGCTCACAGACTCTGGTAAAGCCCTTGGCTTTTCTGTGCCCACCCTCATCTCCCAGGGGTGCTGCTTTGTGCCACAGGCAGCTCACCCATGCTGTGTTCCCATGGAATCACTTTTGCTGCTCCTTGTTTTTGAAGGTCTTATAGGAGTTGCCTCACAGTGATTCTTTCTGCTTTTGTAGGTGCCTGTTCTTTGAGATGAGGAGGGTAAATCAGTGTGGGGTGACCCTGCACGTCCCAGCGGTGTCCTGAGAGCTGTAGGGGCTGTGATGTGCTGGTGGTGGGTGGCACAGAGCATTTAGGAAGGGCTGGTTGGATACTGGGTACTCGGGACATCTTTCACTTCAGCCTTGTGTTGCTTACGCTCATCTGAGAAGCTGGAAGAGAGATGGATCTCCAGAGGATGGTACCTCCAGAGAGGCCAGAGATTCAGGCAGATGCTGATGTCAGGACTTCCAGAAAAAGAAATGGAATTGAGTAGCTGTTACTTCCATTTCAGAACCCAGCCTGGACCCCCTTTCTTCAGGGCAGCTTCCCCAGGCTCACAATGACACGGGCAGCAGAAGCAGCCTGGTGGCAGAGGATGAGGGTGGAGTGTCCCCTGAGGTGAACAGCTCCACATCCCAGAGTGAAGACCCCAGTCTGCAGCTGGTCAGTGCCTGGCACTGGGATTCTGTCCCTGAGGGCCTCTGGAGGTGTTTGCTGTAACCAATGAGCTCCTGGTGGCTGTTTCAGGTGTCTGTCCTCGTGCTGAAGATGAGTGATGTCAACTGTGCAATAGAGGTACAAGGAGATGATTTGTCTGTGGCTTTACAAGTGATGAAGGTGGTTCCAGAGCAGCTGAACAACGTTGGCATGTGGCAGTTCCTGCGTGGCTACGTGGGTAAGATGCTGCTCTGGGACTCAGCTGCACTGTTAGAAGTGGCTTTTATACCAGCCTCCCCCAGGGAATATTCCATTAACTGAGGCCTCAGTGTTTGGGGTGGGTAGGATTGAACACAACTCATGTGTGAGGGTTCAGATCTGGCATTTGAAAGATGTTTCCCAAGTGCCTACAGGGCAGCTCTGGAGAGTGAGTGGGGCACTGAGCCAGGTCCTGCACAAAAACAGGGGCCAGGTTTTAAAGTGTGGTGAGAGAGGGGTGTGCCTGGGACCTTAAATGGTCCAGCTCCAGTGCCAGCTCACTGATGTGGGCTCTGAGTCCTTCAAAATTGGGATTTCTCTCATGTGAGGGGTGATGTCAGACCGAGGTCACTCGGCTGCATTTGGGCTGAGCTGGGCTTTGCACAATGCCCTTTCTGAGCTGATATCTGACCACAGGCCCCGTTGTGCAATGAGATCTCTCTGCCCCAGCTCTAGGAGACCCAGGAGGGGAGAAGGCTGCGAGCCCTGAGCCCAGGCAGCCCCAGCCCGAGGTGTCCCTGCGCCTGCAGTCGGGGCCGCGTGCGGCCGCTCTCTCACCCCTGGCTGAGCACAACGGCTTCCTGCAGCTGCTGCTGCACAGCCAGGCCACCGAGCTCTGCACCTCCTGCCTCGCCAGCCTGGGACCCTTCCTGGAGGATGAAATCATCCCAGAGGTCATCCCCATGGAGATAGAGGTGGTGGATGTCAAAATCACCTTGAAGGTGAGAGATTCCCCCCAGGGCAGGGCTCTCTTGCAGGATTGCACGTGGGAAGGGCTGTGGGAATGCTGGGGGCCTCTGTAGAGCTTCTCTTCTCCTGAGACTGTTTGGTTTTGCTTCTAAAAGCAAAACCAAACCTAGGGATGAATAAGGAACACAAGGGGAGTGTGTACCTGTGCACCCTGTACATAAAGCCAGGCCTTTCCCTAGGGTGGACTCACCCAGTGCTGCTGGTCAGGAGCGCTGCTCCTGAGGAGGCTGCAGGCAAGGGAAATCCTTTCAGGAGCTGTCACAGCTCCTCATCCCTTCTCTGCTTCATGTTCCTCCAGGATGACACCCCCCCAGTGTACCCCACCTCCCCTGGCCCTGTCCCCATCACCTTGGCAATGGATCACATCGTGGTGAGGCGCAGGGATGACGGTGTCTTCTATCTCACAGGTGAGTTACCTCCAGTTTTATTGTCCCTCTGCACCCCCAGGCTGTGCTGGAGGAGACTGGGATGTGCTGGTTGCTGCTGGGAAGGATGGGCTCTGAGGTGGGAGCAGTCCCTGCCTCTGTTCCCTGCTGTGAGAATTCGTGTCTGGTGTTTCCTTAAACACACAGACAGGATCCATTATTACCTTTTATTTCTCCATTGCAAAAGGGGAAAGAGAATTTTATTTCCCTGTGTAACAAGTGGGGGAATAAAAAAGGAAATAAATTAATTAAGGGTTTTTGTTTTTTTTTTTTTTTTTTTGTTCTGAGAGCCCTGTGTGTGAATGTCCACACCTGAGTGGGTTCTGTTGCTTTCCAGCTCCCCAGGGGAAGGACTCAGTGAAACAGGAAAAACCTGTGTCAGTCCCTGAGGAGCAGAAGGCCTCATCAGAGTCTGTCTCACCAGCCCCAGCAGCAGGAGCACGTGGGCTGCAGGTGAGTCACTGCTGCCTGGACAACAGAGCGCTGGAAATTCTCTTTTGCCTTGGTGTGTTTGCAGTCCTGGGCAGGTGTGGTGAGCTGCAGGAAGGGAGTGCCCCAAGGAGCAGCCTGTGCCTCCTCCCATGAGTGTTTTGAGGAGTGAGGGCACCTTGCCCAGCATGAACTCACTTGTTCCCTTTCAGAATCTGGTTGGGGGTTGTTTTCTGATTGGCTCCATCTTCCCCACTGTGTCCAGTTCCTTGTTGGAAAAACAGGACTCGAGATGTTCCCAAAAAGAGAATTTCTGTCAGTGTGGTTGTGTCTCGCTGTGTAACTGATCCCAAAAGTTCCTGCTTTGGTTTTCCTTGGAGCAGCTCACTGTGTACCTTGAAGACTCCTGCCTTGTTCTCTGCTTGTCTCCTGCAGCTCAAGCAAGTGCCAGAGTTGCAGAGGGAGCTCCAGACCATGAAACTGGCCCTGGCAGAAGCCAACATGGACAAGGCTCGCCTTCTGCAGGAGATCAGGAAGTACAACCCCCTGTTCCAGCTCTGACACTGCCAGGGACAGGGCACCAGCACCAGCAGGGCAGGTTTGGTCATTTCGCTGCCAAACGGGTCCAAGTCCAGGACTGAAACCAGCTGTGACTGCAGAGACTGGGCAGAGGGAGGGACAGAGGGGCCTGGCTGAGAGAAATGGGGGGAATGAGGAGGAGTTTGCTCTGCTCTGGCCTGGGAATGCTGCACTGAGCCAGGCCATGGTCAGCCCACCAACACCAGGTCAGATGTGGGGTAGACACCCCATGTCTCCTCATCTCTGGGTGGCTTTCAGCCTCCAGCTTTTGTGGTGACTTCTGGAGAGGGTCCATGCTGGGGTTTCTGCTTCTTTCACCCTTCCTTGTTGTGTTCTTGGCCAGCTGTGCTCGCCAGGGCCCACAGCAGGAGCAGGGTGGTCACTTCAGCACCTGGGCAGTGACAGGACAGGGGTGGCAGAAAGGTCAGGGCTCTGCTGGGGGAGCAGGGCTGCTGTCACTGCAAACAGGGATGGGATCCCACTGTGCAGTGAGGGCACACAGCTCACTATTCCCACAAGAACGGGGTCAGGACAGCACAGAAATTCCTTCAGATTCCCTTTCCCACCAGTAACTCCTTGTGTAGAGATGGATGCAGTGTATGAGACTTAGTCCAGTTCATTCCCACTTAATCCCACAATGTTTGGCTTTATTGGTGCAGGATTAATTCCTTACAAGGCACTGTTAAAACTTTTACTATCAAATAATGGGGTGAGGGGAGGTTGGCTCAGTCTCAGGTGATGACCTGGGTGTTTTTGGGGTGCACCTTGTCCTCAGAGCTTTGTGTGCCTGAGTTTCCCACTGAGGAGGAGGAGCTGAGGAAGGAGCTGTGGGGTTTTCAGCACTGGGTGGAATCTTTGAGCAGGGCTGAGGGGCTGCCTGGGATGGGATCCCAGAACCACCTGCCAGCCCTGATCCCAAAAGGAAATCACTGGAACACCCCTGTGTGGAGCAGCTCCCTGTGAGCACTGCTGGGAACTGCCCACAAGCAGAATTTGGATTTTGTTTCACCAAACCTTTGTGCTGCTCCCTCTCCCTGTGGGGAGCAAGAGCTCTGAGAATTGCCTGCCTGGGGTGGAATGCCATGGTATTCCTGCTTTTTTTTTCATTAATTGCTTGAAAATGGGAGGTTTCTCTCTTCTGCTTTTTCAAATTTTCATGACATTTTGTGTGAGTATGGGAAGGCTATGCCAAGGGTTTGCCCAGCCTGCAGGGCCCCACAGCTCCTCCCATGTGTGCAGGCTGAGCACAGCTGGGGCCAGGGTGTTTACAGCAAATTCCTTGCTCCAGCTCCTTCAGTCAATGGGTTTTGTTGAAGAATTCAAGCATTTCCTTTGCTCTGAAGACCGAGTAAAAAGAACTGTAACCCAAAACCCACAGACATGGGAGGACAAAACCTCCTGGGTCCCCACAGATTGTAAATATCAAAGTTTACTTTGTGGAGCCTCTTATTTAAGGATTCTTCCTCTGTTCCAGTGAGAGCCCAAGGAGTCCTGCCTGGCACAGGTGCCATGGGACAGCACATGGCCTCAGCACCTCTCACAGGGCCCCTGGAAAGGGAGGGGGGGAATGTGCAAGTCTGAACTTGAATTTACATTTGAATTTTAGGCAGTATTGCAACTTTGCTGCAGTTTGTTTCCACTGATGCATTTATTGGTTCTATGAACCAGGAGCAGAATTAAACTCATTAACCTCCTTCCAGCCTCGGGTCTCTTTTCCTGCTTTTCCCTCCCCCTCCATCCCAACACTGCTGGTTTTGGGGCAGCTCCTGGATTTGGAAGCAGAGCTGAACCCTGACTTCAGATGTTCCAACTCCCAGCACAGCCCTGCCCTAGGCTGGGAGCACCTTGGGTCACACAAAGAGCAGATCCCAGTCAGGTTATGAACACAAGAATAAGTTTAATGTACAAAAAAAGCCACACATCTGGGCAGAGATGGCACATCTGGGCAGAGATGGCACATCTGGGCCAGCAGGAAATGCTCTGCAGCCCCTGGATTTCTCTCCCTGCTGTGCTGAGACCCCAAAGTCCAGGTTGAGGGTGCATCCAGCTCTGCCCAGGGCGGGCAGGGACAGCAGGAACATCCTTGAGGCCCCACAGGCCACCCCAGAGGGGCCTTGTGGAAGAGTCCATGGGGGAAGGTCCTGCAGGAAGCTCCTCTCAGCCTCTCTCAGTGGAAAATGATCTTTTTGTACTTGGAGTTGGGGATCTGCCCCCGTGCCTTGAGCCTCCTGACGGCCTCCCTCATGTGCTTGGGCTGCAGGGGGGGCAGCTCCCCCCACTTCTCACACACATCCAGAGCTGGACAGACAGACAGACAGAGCTCATGGCAGGGGCCAGCTGCGCTCTGCCCATCCCCTGCTGCAGCTTCAGTGCACTTTGAAAGGAACAGGTAACGTTTGTGTTTGGGGTTTGCAGCTCAGAGCCAGGAATGGAGCTGCTCCTCTCCCTGCCAGGAGTCCCAGGGCCGCAGGCAGGACAAAAAGCTTCTGAAGCACCCAGGCAGTGTGGAGATGATGGATCCAGGGAAAGGATGAGCTCAGAGCCTCTGCTCTGGAGCCCTGGGGGCTGGCTGGGCTGTGATCCCCTCCTGGCTCAGCTCCTGTCCCACAAGGGCAGCCTGGGGCAGGTTTAGAGCTCAGGGCCCTGCAGCACCATGAGGAGATCCTCATCCTGCAGCTGCTCTGGACTGAGGCACACAGCTGCCAGCCCAGCTCCTCTGCCTGAGCAGCAGCACTGGGGGATCAGAGGGGCTGTGGCAGCTGCAGCAGGCCCTGCTCTGAGCCAGAGCTGCTGCTGGAAGGGAGAACCATGGAGAACGTGCTCCAAGCAGGGAGCTCACCCCGGGCTCTTCCCCTGTCACTCACCTTCCTCCACCACCTCCCCAACGAACACCTTGGAGATGCCCGACATGGCGATGACGACGTTCTGGGACACCGAGGTGCCGGTGATGGACTGGATCAGCTACGACAGGGACAGGGACAGGCGGGGACAGTCAGAGCCCCGCCCGCAGGGACCTCCCAGCCCCTGATGGGGGATTTGAGCTGGAGCCGCTCAGGATGGGCTGAGCTCCGGAGGGCTCCGGGCCCGCCGCGCTCGGGCTCCCGCCGCTCCCGTACCCGTTTGATGGCGGCCTTGGGGAAGGCAGAGCGCCGATACATCTCATAGCGGTTCAGCTGCTCCTCGGAGAAGGAGGAGACCAGGATCCTGCAGGGCACAGGACCGTTCCCAGCCGCTCCCGCGGAACCGGCCAGGGCCGGCAGGAGCGGGGTGGGAGGGAAATCTGGAGGGGGCTGCGGATCCTCGGACCCGCAGGCACTCACTGCATCTTCTGGATCTCGTCCTCGTCCACCTTCTGCTTCTTCTCCTTCCGTTCCTTCAGCTCCAGCTTCACCTTCCTGGCCGCACCCGCCTGCAGCCCCGGCTCCTCCGCGTCCGCCGCCTCCCCGTCCGCGCTCCTCACCTGCGCCAGAGGGCAGCGCTCGCTCTGCGGCCCCGCGGCCCCGCCCGGCCCCGCTCCCGCTCCCGCCTCACCTCCCCGTCCGCCACCTCCGCCTTCAGCTCGCCAGCACCACCGGCTTCCCCCACCTCGCCTTCTCCCGCTCCCTCCGCGGCGGCCGCTTCGCCCGCAGCCGCGGCCCCATCGCCGCTGGCGGGCGGGGAGGAGCCCGTGGGGGGCTCCGGTGCGGCGGCGGCGGCACCGAGCACATCCCGGGCCGGGTCCGCCATGACCGCGCCCGCGGCGCCTTCTGATGACGTAACACTGCGGGCGCCGCGAGGGGGCGGAGCCTATCGCCATGGGAACGGTGATGCGGGCGGCTCGTGATGACGCACATTTACCGGAGACGCGGGGGGCGGTGGCGTCTGAACCCATGGCAACGGAGATGCGACGGCGCCTTCTGATGACAAAATCGCGAGCGCCGCGCCAGGGGGCGGTGCCTGTTGCCACGGCAACAGCGACTCGGCAGCGCAGCCTGATGACGCACTCCATGGGCGCCGCGATGGAGGCGGAGCATGTCGCCATACTAACGGCTCCTCCTGATGATGCACCGCTACGGGCGCCGTGAGGGGATGCGCGGGGCCGGGCTTGTCGCCATGGCAGCGGGGCTGCGGAGGGGGCCTGTGCGGGCCTCACCCCGCGCTCGGACCGACCGGCCGCGCTCCGAGCCGCCCTCCCCACGCCCGGACCCTGCCGGGACACGGCGTTAGAGTGGCCCCGCTGCCCGGGCCCCGCAGGGAAAGCGCCCCCAGACCCCCCCAAAACGAGAACGGCTGAGGGACCACGGGCAGCGTTCAGGGGCGGGGCCGACGCAAGCCCCGCCCTTTGCACCGCCCATCCCTTCACACCCCGCCCATGCACCGCCCATCAGACCCCGCCCTCTCAGGCCCCGCCCCCCGGGCCCGGCGCGGCCCCGCCCCGGAAGTCGCGCGGGCGGCCGGGCCGCGCCGGCCATGGGGAAGGAGCAGGAGCTGTTGGAGGCCGCTCGCACCGGGAACCTCCCGGCCGTGGAGAAGCTGCTCTCGGGGAAGCGCCTCAGCTCCGGCTTCGGCGGCTCCGGTGGCGGCGGCGGCAGCGGCGGCGGCTCCGCGGCGGGCGGCGGCAGCGGCGGCGGGAGCGTCGGTGTGGGGCACCCGCTGTCCAGCCTGCTCAGGTGAGCGCGGCCCGGGGCTGAGAGACGGGGGATGAGCCGGGGGCTCCGGCAGGCGGCTGGGGGTCTGCGTGCCGGGAGGGGAGCGGGAGCTGTGGGTCGGGTGTGGGGCTGGGGGCAGTGAAGGGTTTGGATGCGCTCCGGGTGCAGCGGGAGCGCTGCGGGACAGGGGGGCGCAGGAGCTGTGGGTCGGGTGTGGGGCTGGGGGCAGACGAAGGGGGTGCAGCGGGAGGGTGCGGGACAGAGCGGTGCGGGGGTTCCGAGGTGCAGCGCTGCGGGACAGAGAGGTGCCGGGGTGCGGCGCTGCGGGGGAGGCCGGGGGTCTGTCCCCGCTCTGTGCCCCGAGCTGGGGGCTCCCGGTGGGATGGGACCGTGCAGCGAGCGGGCTGTGAGCGGCTGTGACCTGGGCACTGCTGAGTGTTCGGTGCCACCGGAGCTGCTCGGGCTGTGTGCCCTCGGTGGGCTGGCAGGGCACAGGGCAGTGACTCTGTGGCTGTATGGAGCCGGCAGCGCCAGCGCTGGGTGCTGCCCCGGTCCCCCCGGCATCAGGGCGCTGCTGTGCCGGTGTCCGGAGGGCTCCATGGCCGGGCAGGTTCCATGTGGTCCCGGATCCCGGCGGTGCGGGATCTCCGGGGTGGCGTTCCCGGGTGTCCGGGCCCTGCGCTGGCATTGTCGCGGCTGGCCGTGACACCCTGCCGGGTCTGGGGTCGGCTCGTCCTCAGCCCCGTGCTGGGGAATTTGCTGGTTGAAGCTCTTGGACCTTTGTTAGGTTTTTTTTTTTCTCGTCCCCGTGTTTTGGCATCACCTCTCGCTGCTGGAGCTGCAGCTTTGGGCCTCGCTGGGAATGCTCCTGGTCCCTGAGCAATGGGTTTGTACTGGGAGGTGTGGAGGAGGTTTGTGTCCAGGGCCAAGTGACGCTGTTGCTACACAACCTGGCTGTTCCGAGGGATGTGACTTGCCCCTTTTTGGCTGAATTTGATGTGTTTTTCCTTTCACATAACCCAGTTAGATACCTGCAGGTTGTGCTGGTGGCAGAAGCCTGCAGGCATGTGAGAGCTCACCCTGCCCTGGGGCACACATTTGCCTCTCTGAAACGTAAATCTACCCTTGGGGTCGAGCTTTGTTCTTCTCTTTTGATGCATTAAACAGTCTGAGCCCTTGTTTGAGTGGGATGGATGTGCCCACAGGGGGCTCAGATCAGTGCAGAGGGTCGGTGCAGTTGAGCACCTGTGAGCTGAACCAGATCCAGCACTGCCTGACTGCACCTGGGCACGATGGGGCCTTTTCCCTGCCTTTCCCTGGGACAGTCCCGTGGTGCCAGGGTGATCCAGGCCATCCCTGTTACTATTTCTCACATGTGAACAGGGCTTGGTGCACAGACATGTCTGAAGGAGGGTGACTGTCACAGCTGTCACTCATATTCTGTGCTCACTGCCATGGTTGTTGGCTGTACCTGCTCGTGACACTGCCCAGGTCCCAGCCCCTGAGCCTCTTTCTCCCTGCACAGCTGGGATTTGTGCCTGTGACACTGATTCCTGCTCTGGCTGCACGTTTTGGGGCATGGCAACGTGTCCTGGGTGCCACCTGCTGCCATTTAGGAGCTTTGTGGCTGTTTCCCACCTCCTGGCCACTTGTTGGGCTCTGGCTCTGAGGAGCTTGTGACGAGGTTTTGATGAGAAGCAGCTGCAAGGAGAGGCCAGAGAGTGCAGGAGACAGGCTGGGGCAGGCTGCAGGGAGCAGACAGATGAATTTTAGGGTGGAGAAAACCTCACCTTTTCCAATGCTAGAACATGGGAGCTTTTCTGATGTAGATTTTGCCCTCCTTGGCTGTGGGGAGAAGCCTGCCCTCAGTCAGGTGTGTGTGCTCTGTATTTTCCCCTGCTCAGCCTGATCCCTGGTCCTGCTGAGGCTCCTCATGTCTGTAAGGATCTCTCCTGCCATGGAAACTGCTGAGCTGCTCTCCCCCCCCAGAGCTCATTTCCAGAGCAGGATCATAAACACTCTGCTGGCCCAGCACCTTTGTTCTTTTCTCCACCCAATTTCAGGTCCCTGTTTTAGTTTCTGTTTAAGTCCCACTGTTTGGATAACCTGTTCCCAAAGCTCTTCTCTCCTGTTGCAGCTTTTTCTGTCAGTTCTGCATTTCAGGTGTCTCAAAGATACAGTTTTGGATGGGGTACAAACCAGGCATTCCCTGGAATTCCCACATTACACCTGGTGTGTGCTGAGCTGGCACCTGCTCTGATCTGGCACTCTTTGGTTTGGGCCATTTCTCTTCCAAAGACAGCAAGTGCTGCTCCATGAAGTGGTAGAAGATGGCCCTGGCAGTAAATTCCTTTGAATGTGGTGCTTTATCAGGTAACCTGAACTGCCATCAGTCTGTTATCAGTTAAATGTGAACTTTGTCACAGTCTGGGCTGTGCTGCTCCTTCCCATGCCGAGCAGGGCCTGCTGGGTGTGGAGGCAGCACAGATTCCAACCACCCGTGGCTGCAGGTGAGCAGGAAACAGAAAGGGATGGAGTGGCATAAGACACAGGAGGAGGAATTTCAAAGACAGTTTAAGTCTCTGGAGGGGTGAATGTGCCAGGGTGTAACAGTCAGGGCACTGGGTGGAGAATAAATCCCAGTGGGAGCTGATGGGAGTGGGGAATGCTGACAGCAAGCCTGGGGAATGAGGAGGAAGCAGGGGGGGGAAATGGGAGCGTGGATTTGCCAGAGCAGATGGTGGGCTCACAAAGAGGTGATGGCTGCCAGGCTTTGGGAGGCTGGGCTCCCTGCTGGCATCCACACAGCCCCTGGGAGCTGCCAGGGCCTGGCCCAGCAGTGAGGGGCAGATCCCAGCCCCTCAGCCAGGCCCGGCTGCTCCAGTTCCAGCCGTGGGCCATGGCACAGGCAGGAGCACCGTGTGAGCAGCCAGCGAGAAAACCACTCTGTGCATGCACAGCTCAAGGCTTGTGAGCAACAGCAAGTGCAGAAATCAGAGATGGTCTGTGAGTCCTCAAGGTTCCTTGGGGTTATGAGCCACTTCTGCATCCAAGCTGCAGAATTTGATTCGTTGTATTTTTTTTTTTTTTTAGTGGTTTATTGTGAAGTTAGAGGTGGGAAACAACAGAGCAGTCTGTGGCTGAGCTATCAGGCTGCATTCAGGAGGCTTTGCCAGGAGCAATGAGGGATGGGTTGTGTTAAAGCCAAAGCTGCAGAAGCAGCTTTTCATTTCCATCCATTGCTGTGAAAAGTCTGGCTCTGTGTTGCCAGAGGGGGAAGCTGAGGCTGCTGCTGAGCCCCAGATGGGACATGCAGTCCCCAGGGAGTGTATCAAGGAGATGCTTCTTCTGGGAATGAGGAGTTTGGGTGCACATCTGCTGTGGGAAGGGTCGAGTGCTGCTCCACAGAAGCCACAACCCTTGTTCCAGCCGGTTTTCAGCTGCTGCTGAGGGGTCTGGTTGGTTTAAAGAGTGACGTGGTGGGATGGCAGAACACTTGAGGTGGCTTCCAACAGTCCAAGGCTGCTTAGGAGTCAGAAAAACGAGTTATTTTTTTAAAAAAGCAGGATTTGGTATTTGTTCTGGTGTGGCTGATGGTTCACAGCAGGGATCTGACCGTGCCCTGTGTGCTCCTGGGGAAGGCTCAGACCGTGCCTGTCTGCTGCCATTCCCTGGGAAGGGGACACAGTGCTGCTGCCAGGGAAGGGGGGGATTGCCCTGTCCGAGGCCAGGGTCAGACTGTCTGTCCCTCCATGTGTCCCCATTCCTGTGGGTCAGCACAGAGTCCTGCAGAGACAGCAGCAGAGGGGCTCCAAGGTGCAGCTCCAAGGTGCAGCTCCCAGGCTTGTCCCAGCGAGGTGCTTCCCTCTCTTCCCTCCCTCGTCACAAGGGAGCTGCTCCTGCTGCATTCCCACAGAACAGGGCAATGCTGGGTCTTCCCCTGCTCCTGCTGCTGTGATTAATCATCTCACCCACTCTAAACCTTCTCCTCTCCACACCCTCCCGTGCACGGATCCCTGTTTAATTACACACCTGAGCACAGGGATTGCTGAAGGTGCTTGTGCCACAGGCACAGGTGTGCGCCGGGCTCAGCAGGGAATTGTTTCCTAAGTACTTCTTTAAGAATTCAAAGGCTGCAGTTACTGGCTGTGACTCTGTAGTGTTTTGTCTCTGTGTGATCTTGTGATGTAGTTTTGGAAAGTTTTTGTTTTCTTGCTCTGGTCTGTGCAGTTGTGTGTTCAGGGCTGGGTCATTAACCCTGCCCCGCTCCCCTCACCCAAGCCAGTGGGCAAA